CAGGGGCGGCGGAACAGGGGGGGGCTAGGGGGGCTAAAGCCCCCCCAGAAGTAAAAGTGGGGGGGCTTAGCCCCCCAGAAAATTTAAATTTTTTGAAAAAATTTTGATAATTAGGGAAAAATTTAGGTTATTTTTTGAAAATTTAGGTATAAGGGGACAAATTTGCAATATTTTATTTAAAAGAAGTGTATTTCCGAAAAAATTTTTTGATATAAGTCCGAAAATTTTTTTTTCGTCCCCTAAAGTGGTACACTGACTGAAATTTTTTTGGCGACGGGGGGTGGGGAGGTCGCCGAAAAAATTTAGCCCCCCCAGAACGAAATCTGTTCCGCCGCCCCTGATCCATTATACGTACTGTTTAAAGAAAAATATCATTTTATGACAATTTTATGTTACTTCAAAACATCTTTGGTTACATTCGTGCAAAGAATTACGTTAAAATCAATGTTTTCATACAAAAGTGTAGCTAGGGTTCCCTATGTCTGTAGTATATTTATTTACTTGTATTTCACGTTTTAATGCCACAATTCCCTAAAAAGATCGGTGACCCCCGTTTTTTAACTGATAATTTATTTCTTTAATGCATTTTACATTTCATATCCGAAATTAAAAGAAAAATCATTTCTGGATCTTGAAAAAAATGCTTTATCATTGCATGTTCTCAAAGAAAGATATGTAAAGAAACGTGGAAAAGACATCTGTGGATTATAATTGTACACGTTAGTAGTTTCATTTTGCTCAAAACACAATATTTTTTCAAAAATAATTACAAGATAGGTTTACTAAAGCAAAATCCGAGCGTCAATAAATATCGGGCTGTTGCGATTTTGCTGTTACTCGTAATGAGCATCAAGATGGCGCCATATTGGGGTAAGGTGGTATATTGTGATTGTCATATCTTCTTAACGAGTTAGGTGACCCCGACTTTTTTGTGTGATTTTACTTTAAGTATATCATAAACTCCATGCCTGGAAATTCTCATTTCGGGAACAATTACTGCGGAATTACCTTAAGTGTCAAAAAGTCGTTACTTATCCTACAGTGTATTACATTATTATAGTTTGAGGATTGTATTTAGGAAAACATTCCTTTGGTTGGGATGGTCGGTGACGGCGTCAACGATGGGCCAGCTTTGGCAGCGGCTGATGTGGGCATTGCTATGGCAGCAGGGGAGTCCGCATTGGCAGTCGAGGCAGCAGGAGTGGTCATTATGACCAACAGCCTCTTAAAGGTGCCTGAAATAATTTGCCTAAGTCGATTCTGCCGTCGTCTAATTATCGAGAACATCGTGCTGGCCATTTCACTCAAGCTTGTTTTCGTTGTGGTCGCGTTGGCGGGTAACGTCCACGTCTGGATGGCAGTGGTTGCAGACCTGGCTGGGCTCCTTGTCGTTATCCTGAACGGACTGAGGTCCCTGATATGGAAACCACCCATATCGAATACCGAGACGAATGAGGCGCCTGGGGCATCATGGCTACATCAGCCAGATGAATATAAGCAAGTTAAACAAGATGATGGACTGTGAAATAATTTTTAGCAATTTAAACAGTATTGATATCTAGGAGGAGATGGTTGATCGATAGACCTGAAAAAACGATTACAGTCAACTCTCATCTTTTTGTGCCCGCAATAGCGGGGTGCGATAAAAATGTTAACAAGCTTTCGTTGGTAAGGATGCATCTACCTGAAAAATATAAGAATTTCAATAAAAATAACTCAATTTCAAGTTGTAAAATGTCACCCACAATGTATTATACTGCTTAATTTTGCTTTTAAAATGTCCAGTTTCTTTCAATTAGTTTAATTTACGTTTATTGTGATACATTAGTACACAATACAAGCGAAAATACAAGTCAAAAATTTGTTTTTAAAAATGTCAAGTAAATGACACGAAGTCAGAAATGCCTGCATGTTTTAGACAGTTTCAGTCTGGGATGAAGTTGCCTATCTAATGTGCTTTGATGTGATCTTTCGCTCACAGCATTCTCGCTTACCTTGTCCGCAAGCAGAGAAACCTCATTTGCGAGTGTGGACTTGCCGAGAACTCTGAGGATCGGGACATACACCTTGGTCGTTTAGAATTTTTCTGTTAATATATATATATATATATATATATATATATATATATATATATATATATATATATATATATATATATATATATATATATATTTCTGTTTGTCATTTTCGTCGACACAGTACGTCCAAGGTGACCGTTGTAACGGGAGTTGAACAGTAAAATGTTTATAGCGAGACTCCGTAATAGCAAGAGGCACTTCAATACATTTCATAGTAGTTTCGGCTGGGGATTTACCGACTGTCCTTAATTAACAGCGCGCGGGTTGTCCGTAATAGTAGGGTGTCCGCAAGGCGAGAGTTGACTGTAGACTGATCAGTTGATCCGGTACGAATTTTGTTAACACAAATGAAAACAGGAAGGCTTCAGGTTTAGAGAAGACAAATTAAATTTTTCCAAATTTGTGATGACGTATTAGCGTCCCAAATATTACCACAAACACTTTTTTTATTATGCACCTGATCATATTGGACCAAGAGTATTTGTAATTCTTAGGATTGGAGACTTGTAATACAATTGTGAGATACACTGTTAAATTATAGTCATTTTGTCACTGTTTATGCGATTGATTTGTTTGCTAAAACGGCTCTCAGAATGCAGGAAATATAGCGTTTCTAAGCCTAGAAAATCAACTAACTAGTATTCGTCCATTGTGATTACGATTGAAGGCATCCGAAGGCATTATTAAATTAGGGACTACGTCATAAAGTAAAAGGGGGGTGGGGTGGGGTGGGAAAAATAGGGGGTGGGTCACCATTTTTGAGCACGGTTGAAGGGGTGGGTCATCGAAGGTTAGGTGCAATCCTAAGGGTGGGCCATGTAAAAATATGAATAATTTTTTTAAGGGCATGTGTATTAAAATTCATATTATAAATAATTTTTTTAAGGGCATGTGTATTAAAATTCATATTATAAAATGTGTAAAATTTATACCGCAAACATTAACCTCAAACTTAAAAGCTGAATTTACTATCTTGGCTAATATGTTAGTAGTGGCTAACTAATTTTCTGATAATCATTATTGCTAAATATCACGAGATTGGTGTAGTAGGATGTTTATTATGTAACAAAATTAGTGTAATTTCTACGAGAGCATAGCTGTAAATGTCAAACTAAAAGTCTTTAATTATGACAAAGATGCTGCATAATGTAGTATGCATGGGAAGTTCTTTCTGTATTTAATTCAAGGCCTCTTTTAACATATAGACTGGGGAGGACATGTCCCCAGCCCTCTAACTGGCCCCTCCAGTCAAGTCAATTGACCCGGTAGGCCAGAATTTGGGGACTGAAATTTAATTAAAAATTTCGCCAGAAACCTAAACCATGACTGAAATAATTTGCTCATGGAGAAAGGCATGAAATAGCATTTTAGGACGAAATTCTAGTTTAGTTTTTCCAAACCAAGATATTTCAAAGAGACCACCCTATCTTTCTCTTCAGTGACACTGAGGAGACGGATGCACCGATTTCAAGTACCCTAATACATGTACTGTAAAATTTGAAGTGTGGTGAATGATAATACTATACCACACACACACACACATTTTAATTACCGCATCATCACACCATGTTGCCTTATTGGGACGGGATTACATTTGGGAGACTGTGAAATTGTAGTAATTGTGTCAATGTTTATAAGGTTAATTTCTTGTTAAAAAACTCCTCAAAATGCAGGAAATAGCTTATCTGAGCTTCAAGAAATCCAAAATTTTCTTGGGGGCATGCTTTCAGACCCTCTAGAAGCTCGCACCTTCGGTGGTCAACTTGGTTGTCTCAGAATCCTAGTTATAGTCTGATCTGCTGCCCTATGACGTATACTTATCAGTTAAACCATGCCCACTCGAACTTCTCCAGGTCCCCCGCTAGATATGTCTTCTCCAGTTACACATACTTAAAAGAGGCCCTGAATTTTAATTGCACCATTTGAATAGCTATTGAGTATTGTAACAGAATTATTTGGCAACAAAAAAATAGAACGCTGGTATCTTTTGCCTTTCTGGGTCATAATTTTTCAGCATCAATTTAAGGTGGGCCACAAAGTTTCATGCAGCTATTAAGGGGTGGGCTACCAAAAGTGCAGACACCAAATATATGATTTTCCCAGCCCACTCCCCCTTTTACTTTATGACCGGTCCCTTACTTACATTTAATATTTTTATAAATAAAAGGATGAAAAGTATATTTGCATCGCTATTCAGAAATTTTGAGAATCAAAAGGTATGTACAGGGAGTCCCCAAAAAAGTGTCAATATATATAGAAATTATCCTATATTGTTGTTAAATAACACGTTTTCATGCGCCTTGTAATTAAAAATTCAATTCAATTTAAACATTTAAATTTTCTTTGATTAGGGGGGAAGGACCTACATCGCACATAGATCAGGGGAAACATAGCCGTTCCCCTGACGGTAGGTTGGCCAACCTTCCTGTGTTTAGTGAAAACTCATTGTTGTTTGTTGGTTGATTCTCTCCTGTACTTTGAGCGTTTTTCTCCCGGACCTCCGTTTTTTTGGTCGCCAAAAACTAATTCCCTTACTACTTAATCGAGCATTTGTATCATGATGAGCTTCCGGCACGAGTGAATTAAAAAACCGCGCCCTGCGGCGTAATCGTCTTTAAATATCAAATAAATAAATGAGTATCGATTAATCTCTTTTGTATTTGAAGTATATTTTACAAAAGTGTTGAATTAAGCGGTAGATATTTTAGTGAACCATTTTGTATTATGTAGGTTAAATACTTGAAAGTCCCTTTAGCGTTTATTATATTCAACAGCTAATAAAACTACAGGGTGTATAAAAAAACCCTCAACCTCGGAATTTCCCAAGAAATCGACATTGTTTTAAGGACAAAAGATTTAAGGTGCTTGGGAATTTAAAATAGCACAACTGTCAAAATTACTACACACGCGAGTGCATAAAGCAAAATTTATGCATTTATTTAACAGTACAACAACAGTAATATGATCTATTAGCAATTCGATTTCAATTCCCAGGGGCCTAAAATCGTTTATGCTTAACAATTGCAAAGTGGATTTATTAGGAAATTCCGAGGTTGCGTTTTTTTTATACACCCTGTACATGCATATAAAAGTGCTGTGTGGCTATTTCCACTACGACTGCCACGTGCGTCCCAGTATATTATTGCAATTCTATATTTGTAATTGAATATGACAACATGTGTTTGCACGTCTTGAACGTGAGGATTATATATCACCAAGAATGAACGATCGTTTCTTTCACCAATCCGCATGCTTGATTTTGTGGGCATAGAATGAAAGCAGGAGCATTGCACCAATTCCCAATAAAATGAAAAAATTTTGAATCAATAGCAATTTGAAGGCCTTCATTTTCGATTTTCCAGCCAGTCCCTGGACCATTTGAATACTTTCGGGAAGCTAAAAAGTAATGGGATCAATAACGTATGTAAAAACCATGCATTAATAATCTTACTCATTCCTTCAAAATAAACTGACGCGAGTCCTGCGACATAAGGTAGCCTGCTCTTAGATTCTTTAAATTGATAGCCGAACAGTTTAGGCTCAGCTCTGCGAATGCGCGGCAAGAGTCGTATACGGCGTGTGGAGTTTAATCGCTGCATAGTCTTTGGTAAGGTAACTGAATCCTGGTCAAAAGGAATTAAGAGTTGCTAAATCTACAATCTATACAAGTATTATTTTCATTTATATACTTTATTTCGTTTATCTATTTTCATTTTCAGTTGCTAAATTTACAGCTAGTATATACATAGCAGTATTATTTAATTTACATACTCATTAGCAATGTAAGTTTTAATATTAACACATAACCTTACCGGTGAATGGATTGATTTCTCGCTCCTACACATCCTCATGCATACAATTTTGTCTATGCATTAGCAAAAGTAGCGGGACGAAAGTCAACATTGAAATAGCGGGCAGGGGAGAATTATAGTAATTTTTAAATTCAAAAAAGTTAATTTATTTTTAAGTTATTTTTAATGCTTCACGACGAGGCAAGGTTTTTGACCAGGATTGTAGTTACTGTAAAAGATATCTCCGACAAAATTGTGAACTGTCTCCTTTTAAACTGATATATTGGATATATGGACCCAGGGGCGTAGGGAGCATCAAAAGATTGGGAGCACCGACTTCTAGGGGCACTTTATAGGGTATTGAAAAGGGCACCTAAAAATGTTCCCCGGAAATGTTGCCCCTCGTGCCCCCCGATTCCTACGCCCCTGTATGGACCTATTACATCGTTACTTTGTTTCCAGCCAATAGTACTCTTTGTTTGACATAATTGCGTGACTGAGTGACGTTATGGAAAATCTAATGCCTTTACAGGCACAAATTTCTAAAAGTTAAGAAGTCTAACTGAGATATAACAAGATAAGTTTCTTCGAATGCCAAAGTTGGAGAGTTTTGGTTTCTGGTAAAAACACTTTCCAATTTCCATGCACTGTCGGCAAATATAGTTTGGAAAATTTGTTTTAAGCTTACCATATCAACCAATGAGATGTAAAGAAACATTCCCCCAGCGATACCATATATGTAATGCACAGCGGAGGTCTCGAATCCCAAAATCAAACCAGCTATCAGGCCGAGATAACACATGCATGCAGAACAAAAGTTCGCAAGCATTGCCTGTTTGTATGTCATGCCAGAGTTCAGCAGAATAGCAAAATCACCTGAAATATAAGGAAAAAGTTCTAATAGTCTCATGCACTACGTGACGTTAAGCTAGTTAAAAGATTCAATAGATACAGTGTATGTCAGACATGGATTAATTATCACGCGAAGATAGCATATACAGAGTGGTATTAAGGTCACAGGACACCTTTCGGTGACTCAGTTCGGCGGAAAATTTCCATATAGCTGCGCAGTTAAATTAATACAAGTCCGTGTTTATTTGATCATTTTTTCACCAAGCGCGTGTAATATCGTCGTATATCTAAATGCTTTTATTTTGATTTTTACTCGACCAAGTGTTATATGTTATATACCATAATATATTCATGCACGCCTATGCACGTTTATGTTAGAGGGTGGTTCAGCGTAAGGTGGTTCAGCGTCTTCCACTTCGCCTTCCAATTCTTCTTCGTCAACGCTTACTTCCTCTTCTTTCATCTGGTTTCAGAAATTTCTTAACATGACTGGAGTTTCGACGGTACGTCTTTCCACTGTTATCCTTCATGATAATCTGAGAACCTTTGACTTGAACAACTTCCAGAGGATCCAGTCGAAAATTAGTTGAGTATTTGTTCTTATGCTTATGTTGTAGCAAAACAAAGTCGCCTTGCTTTAGATTTTTCTTTTTCGCTTTCCTCCTCGTGTCTGCATACTGCTTGTATTTCTCTTTCGTCATACGATCAGTTTTCCGCAGTTCGTCATCATCAATTTGTTTCTTGCCAGTGATGCTTGGAATCTTGGTACGTAATTCTCTATTCATCAGAAGTTTGGCAGGGGTTTCTTTCGTTATTCGATGTGGTGTACTCCTGTAGTTTCTCAACATTGTTGATAATGTGGTACGCCAGTCTTAATTGCCTGCTCTAGATGTTAATACATGATTCAGTAGAACTTGGTTAAACCGCTCCACCTGGCCGTTGGCTTGGGGCCAGTACTCTGTAACGGTACGTAGGTTTACTCCCCAGGTCTTGAGCGTTTCCCAGAATTCTTGTGATGTAAAATAGGATGCGTTATCCGACTTTATTTCTTCTGGATAGCCATGTGCTGCAAAGACTGAATCGAGCCACTGAAGTATATTTTCTGAAGTTACTGTTTTCAAAATTTTTACCTCCGGCCACCTTGAGTAGTAATCTGTTAGAACAACAACGAATTCTCCAGTTGGAAATGGTCCGCACACATCAATTACGAAATGGGTGCAACATGCATCGGGACGTTTGGTGGGACATACTGGCTCTGGTCGTTCAGGTTTCTCGATAACTTGGCATGGATGGCAGGTTTTGATGTGATCTTCAATATTTTTATCCATCTTGGGCGACCACAATTTGGAACGTATTCGTTGTTTGCATCTTGTTATACCGGCGTGATCTTCATGTGCCAGGGCAATTGCTCGAGGTCGGAGTTTAGCAGGTAAGACAATTCGATTTCCTCGTAAAACAATGTCCTTGGTTATAGACAACTCATCCCCAACCAACTTGTAATCTTGAGGAAGTTTATAACTTTGATTATTGATTATACTCTCTCGGATTTGTTTAATCTCTGGATCAACTTTAGCTGTTTCTCTGATTACTTCTGTGGACATAGCTACTGGAATGTTTTGTTCTGCTAGATAATGGACAAAGCGATCTCCGCATGCTTCCATATTGCTCCGTGGTGTCTTGGTTGGAAGACGGGAAAGGGGATCAGCTAGATTCTGCACTCCTGGTCGGTATATGACGTCAAAATTGTACTCTTGTAATCGTAAGAGCCATCTTTTGATTCTAGCTGGCGAAGGCTTTCCATTGACCCGTCAACTTTGGCTTGAATATAAGCTCGAGTGGGCGATGATCTGTTTCCAACTCGAAATGTTTACCATAAAGGTATAGATGGAACTGCTCGCAACCGAAAACAATGGCTAGTGCTTCTTTTTCAGTATGCCCATATTTCATTTCTGTTTCTGTAAGTGATCGACTTCCAAATGCAACTGGTCGATACTCAGGTGAATCTGGATGCTGCTGCAATAAAACGGCTCCGAGTGCCCATGGTGATGCATCTACCACCAATCGCGTAGGATATAAGAGGTTGTAGTGGATTAAAACTGGTGCACTCGAGAGTGCTTCTTCTGAAAACTTTCATCCTGTGCTTTATCCCAGTGGAAAGGCACATTTTTCTTCGTTAGTTGACGTAGAGGGTAGGTTACCGAACTGTAATCTGGGATATATCTTGAATAATAATTCACAAGTCCTAATTAGAACGATCGTACTTCTGCTGCTAACTTAGGTTTTGGGGCGTTGGCTATCGCTTCGACCTTTTTCTTGTCAGGCTGTATTCCTTTCTTCGCAGGGCATTTTTAAGAATTCGTCAGTGGGGGGGGGGGGGCATCTACAAAAAGGACCATACTATACTGAGTGTTGAGAAATGAGAGATGGTTTGTTGGTAACAAAATGTTTGGTGTGGTATCACATTTAATAGTAGGGGAGGGGGGTCTGGGGTATTCTCACCCAGAAAATTTTTATATTTTTCTACCCCTATGACTGCAATTCCCTGCATTTTCTGAAACAGATTTTTGGATATACAGCATTACATTATGCTGTAGATAGACTGAACCTTCAGTTAAGTACTTGCATAGTATGTTTATGTAGATACCACAACTTGGCCGTCACTTAGGGAGCCAGCTTGATAAACTTAGAATTTCCGACTCCCACGAAGCGCCACCATGGTTGGCACAGAGCGGAAAAATTTTGAAAATTTTGCGTCTGTAAATCATCGGAAATGGCATTTTCAAAGTCTTCTATACGTCTTTTGTTTGGCCCTTTCATTAATTCGTTCATTATGATTTGTGAGTCTATGATATCCGCGAGTCAGGATGGATTATTACGAGAAATGTTATCAAAATATCGATTACAGATATTTGATTATATGTATATATGATTTCAAATACTTCTAGTTTCAAAATCAATTTTTTTTTTGTGGGGGCCAAAATTATCCCCCCCCTTATAAAACACTTGGTTGAGGGCCTGTTGCCCCCTGTGGTCACTACAACTCAAACTCTATAGGGTCTGGGAAATGCAATCCACTACCTGGGAAATGTTTAAAATCTAATAAGGTATTTATTAAACATAAAAGACAGGACATAAGATTCACAAAGCAAATTTCAGTTACTAGAATATCAAACCTCCCTTCTAAATTCCATGTTTTGCTTATATTTTAGAGAAAAGGGACTTTGACTGGGGGGGGGGGGAAATGGTTGAGTGGGGGGCCATCATGGGGGCTGGGGGGGCTTTGGCCCCCCAAAATGCCCTGGTTGCAGAAGAATGCCCTGGTTGCAGAAGCAACAACAACATGTGCTGTCTTAGCCTGCACCACCCGAACACACCCGATTCACAATCTGGCTCCCAGCCTTGTGTGAGAAAACATTTTCTGCTTCTTCCGTACCTCAGCCAGCAGAAAATAACACTTTGGTGGGAACTTTAATAATCTGGTGCACCCCTAAATATAAGCTTTATAAAGATCTGCATTTCACTTGTTACCCTGGCACCCTTCACAGCTAGGTCACAGAATAAGGCACACAGAAGGGCCACTTACGTCGGAAGCTTTGAAGTTTTTGTCACCCTGGCCGCCATCTTCCTAGCCAGTCGATTTAGTTTTCTGGCCAATAAACGCGCTGTATCGGCTGAAGGCCCCGCCTTCTGGCCAGTCAACTGCATATTTTTGCATAGAAAAATGGTGACACGTTGCAACGCTGTCAGTGGCCCTTCTGGTACTGATCTTTATTCTGTGGCTAGGTTATAGCCAGTCCATGCCCACTCCTAGAATATTATTCCAGTCATTCTCCAGTTATATATAATTTAACCATAGGGAACCAAGTAATGGGGCTAATTATGCACTGATCTCATATATATAGCTCAGTGGAGCTAGTGACATACAATGTCACTGGGCTATATATAAACTGGAGAAAGATTGATGAGCACTTGACAGTTGACAGAGTACACTGGATATAAAATAGCATACTTTAGTATGGGAAGTAGAGGTGTGCATCAGATCGGATTGGACGTTTATAATCCGACAATTGCCTAATGTTTAAAATCCGATCCAAAATTGTCTAATCCGAATCCGATCCGAGTTTTGATAAAGAATTCCGATCCAATCCGAAGAATTCTTTAATAAAATAAATTTCTCATTCCAGTTGAAATATTTAACCAAATAAATATAAAAGCAAGAAAAACATGTCAAGAAGCTGACAAAGTGACATCCAATTGAAGTATCAAACGAATAATGCAGCGACAACTGCGATAATGCTTTGATAAATAATTCATTTTATTTCGGATATCGAAGTCTGATCCGATCTGACTACGAAACAACATTATCAATCCGATCCGAAATGAATATTTTGGTTCCGAAATCCAAATGAATCCGATCGGAATTGCACACCTCAAATGGGAAGTATTTGGCATACTACACACTGGTTCTCATTTTTTCGGCCAAGTACCACACAGGTACACAAAACCCTTGCTATCTGCGTACTAGGGCTGTGTGGTTTAACTGAAAGATTTGGATGGCACAGTTCTTTTTTAGCAACCGAAAGTCAGCATGCACTGGGCATGCACAAAACTACAAAAGTAGTAGAAGTCGAATCTGAACCTCTCTAATGTAAATGTACAAAATAATGCAGTACCTATCAGATCCTCGAATGGCTGTGTTGGACTTGACACGAAAGTTCTTTAGAAACATATTTTCAAACTTTCTGTTGAACTTTGTTATACACTATAAAATATGACAAAAAATACAATATGATGATTCATTGATCCAGTGAAAATCTTTTTCATGTTCATAAATTTTCATTGTTCTAAGTGTATTCAAATAATTCAATATTAAAACAATACTTACGCCTTACACAAATTTATTAGACTGGGTTTCCCCACCATATTTTCACCACAGAATAGGTTTTCACTTTTCTGTGTCGTTCTACTTCTACTACTATATTGCTCCTAACATGACGTATTCAACCTGGGGAGTGAAATTTCTGAATATGAAACTTTCAAAGTTTCTTTTACTTTTCAATCCAATTGTTCAAAGCTTCTCCAGAGTTTTAGGTTTACAACAAGAAAGGTAATAATAAAATGTTTCAATTTATCTGATAAACTTTGCCATTCTGTGATTCTGCCTCAAAAAATCGAAAAATTAATTCGATTACCCAGTGTTCCTTGCGTGGTTGTCATTGGAACGAAGCTCAGGGAAAAATAGCTTCCTGTCTGTCTCTCTTGACATATGAAACAGCAGGCATTAAAACATGTGGGTCTGCTTGTCGATGTCGAGTAAAATAACTACTTGGAATAAGCGAATTATACACTGAACATTCTGAAGAAGCACTGTATACGTTATCTGTCGTCCAACATTTTTGTCATCGAGTGTAAACGACCCGAAAGAGTGTTGAAAACTTGTATAGTTTAATAATTGTCCGTGCTTGTCTTAAATTTAAATTTACCTAGATGCCGGCTGCTTGGAACGGTTGTACTGCATTTGCTCTGTGACGGATTATTATGGCGTAGGGAATAAGTACGCCGATTATTGTTCAGAAAGGTAGGTGCTTTGCTGAACATTTAGTTTGGAAATTTAGAAGTTCGAATTGCACTCACGTACGTGGGGCAGATTTTTTTTAGAGAACTTCATACAGAGACTAAGTTTATATAAAGTTAGATTGTCATTGTTAAAGTTAACACTGGTGAAGTATTTGATTTAGAAAGCTCACCTTCTCAGTCAGGTGTTGATATAAATAGCAAGTGTAATGTAGCTCTCGAAATGTCGCGTATAATGCGGCATCGTCCTACGCATTCTGCTAACAATATTGATTTGCCCACTGAATGTAAATAGCCGATCGGTTCAAGGCGTGGGTGATCGCTCTTTTTAGACGTCAAGATTATAATTTCCCCCGCGCTATCAATAATACTTTTCCCGTCTATATAATATCTTAATTATGAAATTTTCCAAGCAACATGAGCTGGCAGCCTGGCAAGGTACTGTATCGCTGAATGTAGGTAGCAACTGTGAACTTGCTGCAATTTGACATCATTAAAAATTTTCTTACGACTTTTCCTTTGCATAATATATGAGTCAAACATTTGTCCGTGTACGGATTTGGCTTTTGATTTACTTGTACAAATTGTGTTAAATCTCGTTGTTTTAAAGGTGCCATTTTGTAGTGTTGAAATTGAGTTACTTTTCTTGTCTAGGCGATGATAAAAGCATGGGGAAACATTGTTAAAGGTGGAGCTAGGCAGAGCTCACCAGAGCACCTGCGTCAACAGATTCTTGGTTTTGCAATCGGGCAATGTTCCTATATTAAGCCACTCCGTAGACATCAAGATATTTATAGCAAGAGACATGTGATATGCAAGATATTTCTTCAACATAATATAAAGGTAGGAGATTTTCTTTAATTCTTAAATATGATAATCCTCAAGCTTTAATTATACAACTGCTCATGTGTTAATTCCAAGTGAATATTAAATACATGCTTTCAGGTAATTGAGTTGCATTTATATAAGAAACTGTTGTGTTGTAATGTTGTTACAAACAGTAATTTTGTTGCAGCAAAATGTTTAAACATGATTGATTGATTTGAATTATGCTCTAGCAAATAATGGGTTTTCCTGTTTTGTAAGTAATGTAAGACAGATGTATAGTGGTTACTATGGAAATTAGTTCAGCTATCTGGCAGAACATCTTGGGCAAGAATCTTTATTATTTGCAAAAAACCCAGCACAGTATCAATCCATATCATATTATAATAGTGAGGGACACTATGCAAATATTGGAGATGCGAATTTGCATTTGCAAACATATACTCAATTTTTGGTGCTTAGAATTAATTCTTGAAACCTTTTTGCCTCAAATTTAATTTAAGTGTAACCCATTGGTGCCCAACACTTTCCCTTTGGCAATTAAATTAAAATCATCTGGCATTAGACAGTATAAAAACAAAGAAAGTCCCATTTGAACACATCAATTGTAAGTTAACCCATTGAGAGTGAGTCCCTTTGACGACTACAAACCTTGTAGCATTAGACAGAGCAAAATAATAAAATAGGGCACATTAGGATGTAATGAAACTTAAAAGATTAAAAGACTATCATAGTTAACAAACATTAATACAGATTACAGTAGTAAATAAAAAAATTAAAGGGGAAGAAATATTAAGGGGAATTTAAAAAACAATTCATTTGTCACAGTTATTAATTAGATCATTCTAGAAAACATCTGTACCTCCCCCACAGAGGAAATGGGAAGACCTCCTTTCTGCCATATATATATATATGTATATATATATATATATATATATATATATATATATATATATATATATATATATATATATATATATATATATATATATATATAATATATATATATATATATAGATATATATATATAGATATAGATATATAGATATAGATATAGATATATAGAGATATAGATATATAGATATATAGATATATAGATATATAGATATATAGATATATAGATATATAGATAGA